CCTAATATATACTTGATTTTTTAATTATAATAAATTACATCATAATTTTATAGCACCCAATATTAAAATCATTCATTGCTGGTTCTACATCTGGATTATTCTCTACAGTTTTATTTCAACCGTTTGATGTTGTCAAGACAGTCTTACAAAACCCTAGAAAGTAACTGAAGCTGAACTGTTAAAAATAATAATATTTTTGCAATATATTTTAATCGGCATTGTATTATTAGTGACCGTAAATTAGGAATAATCAATGCCACAAAGTCAGTTTGGCAGCAAGAATCTTATTATGGATTTTGGAGGGGATTGTCTCCAGTAAGTACCTACCAATATATGTATTTTATATTTTATTAAATGCGTCTATATTTTACTTAATTTACTCTTTTATATTTAAAATATCCTTCCCTGTGGAAATCAATACAATATTGAAGTATTTTAAAATAATTATTGGTGATTTAATTGAATTTTAAATTATAATTTAAATAATATATAACAATAATACCAAAGTAACAACTTTCAATCAATGACAAAAACTTATAAATTTTGGTTGATAAAAAAATATTATTTTATCACTTAATAAATAATGATTTAAACAAAAAAAAAAAACAATATTAAAATTATATTATTATGTAGATACTTATTTTAAACATAAGTAAGGTGTTAAAACTTTGTAGTGTGTTTAAGAATATGGCCAATATAGTTCAACGTTTATATTAATAATCTTCTTACTATTGTTAATAATACATTCCTTGCCTWGTGTAACTCTTCTGATTATCAGCCATCAACGGAACTCAAAAACATATTTGAGCTTATAATTTTTGGAATTGATACTCTCATCGTTTAAATTGGGAATCACTTTTAGCTGTTAAATACCAGCTATTAGGAATTGTATGGCTAAAACTCAAATGGCATGCATTTTTTTTAAGGTATCCTTAGACAACATATATTACAGGCTGCCATAAAAGAATTTTCACACTAAACTAAAAAATTTAAACTTCACCAAATATGTGTTACTTGAGGTGTAGATTGTTGTGACGCTGTATTATTGTTTCAACAAATCCAACCAACTGTTTGCATTTTTTGATGCATTGTATTCAATATGTCTTTGGAAGGATTCAGATACTTTCAGTTTAGCAAATAAAATTAGTACTGCAATGAAAYATTTCCAAGTTCTGAACATAAATGAATAAATGATAGTAAATTACGAGTAAAAATATTGGGAATGAGTTTTATAATAACTAAATTTCTTCAAAAAGAAATTATTAATTTAAAATCA